TTCCATAAATTCAGCTCAAAGATTCCAATCAAAAGTTTTGGACAGCTGCAAGGCTCATAACTGTGATATTTCAATATATGTTGGCCATCACAGCTACCTAGGGATAAATTTGGTGTTAATATTATTCCAGGTCTTTGAGCTGTCCTAAAAAAAAGGGATCAAAACTCCCATATCTCTTCTGCTATTATTTTTAAGATTGAACCTACACTATTTGACCTCTCATCCTCCTAATGGTTCCTGTAACCATACAACTTTTTATTAGAGGATCCCATGGTGGTAACCAATGGGATGTGCCATTCAATAAACAACAAACAACATTTCACTCATTTTAATCCCCTCACTTGACCTATGCTGCTAGACTGAATCATTCAGCAAAGAAGCAAATCACTGGGGGAAAAGTGCCCACTCATGGAAGAAATACAATGCCTCCTTGTATCTGTCTTCTTAATAAATAAAGGATTGAATTCTGTGTATATGTGTGTGTGAACCTTAACTGCAACAAAACAAAAGCAAAGCAGCACAGCTTGTGATATACCAGGCCAAATACACCTTAATAATGAACCATTTAATGTTTCATTAGAGGTTTAGTAAGCTCTATGGTGACTATTTGGGATTGGGGGAAAAAGAGGAAGAAAATGTCACACAGAATAAAATTCATGCTTTTTTGTTATTAAGATCAGGGGTCCCCAATCCCCAATCTGCAGACCACTACCGGTCTGTGGCCCATTGGGAACTGGCCCCTCAAGCAGTGGGGGACCACACAAAGCTCCATTTGTGCATGCGCAGGATTAAGTTGCGCATACAAAACCATCCCCTACACACACACACACACACCGCTGCCACTGTTGTTGATCTCAAAACCACAAAGTTTGGGGACTGCTGATTAAGGGTATATGATCCCAAAGATGGCAACCATTACAAATAAAATTGCAAGCAAATAATTAAAACAGAAAACTAGGTAGAAAATATATTCACTAAAACATAAGGAAATACTGTAGATGTTGTGAATCAGCCCAGATCCATCTTGAATGCAACAAGATTCAATTCAAAACTTTCCTCAAGTCAAACTCAACTTTTTTCCAAACCAAATTATAGCCAAGATATTCCATTCCAGTATTAATAGGTGGAACCTTCTAAGGTTTAGCTCACTGATAAACAATCCAATAAGAGTTTCTGTCATAGGCTGTAATGGTGACACATCAAATACCTACAATTGCAGCGTTTGGGACAGAATGGATCTATACAGAAATAAGTATGCAAAAAAACCAGCAGTTTCTGAACTTTTCAGGAAGTTTTTCAGCTTCCAAGAAGTTGTACTTAATTAATACAGAAAGTATTTTTTTCCAATTTATAATAAATACATTCAAAAACTGTTTTCAAAGGAAGTTCTTATTGAATGAATCCACCATTCTCTGCTTGCTTTTCTGAGCTGGCAGGTTCATTGGCATGGCAAAATGAGCTCTTCAGAAAATGACACATTATGTATTGCTTGTTCAACAATAGAAGAAAAGTTTGTGGATGCATAACCACTATTGTATACATAATGTACTACTGTATATATAAATATATAACATACAATATCATGGTACATAGTCTTTGGGATGCATAGTTAGCAGCAGGCACACTATTTTATGCCCATTCATGCAAGGAAGGCTCATTCAGTACATGATCAAAGCTTTTTCTTGTTTTGGTTTTTTAAAATTTTGTTGTTTGTTTGTTTTTCATTTGGGGTGTAGGGGAGAGAATAAAAGGGAAAGAAAATAAATAGGAGACTTGAATACAACAGTCAGATTAGATCAGGGCTTTTCAACCTTTTCACCCATTGTACCACTTTTAGGATATGGCAACATCCGAGTACCACCAGTCGCCTAGCAAGGTGTCAAAAACTTGATGACCCCCCCCCCAAAAAAGAAAAAAAGTGATAAAGTACAGGTAGTCCTCGACTTACAACATTTCGCTTAGTGACTGTTCGAAGTTACAATGGCACTGAAAAAAGTGCCCCCCAACCCACAGCCGAGCAAGACACCTGCCTGCCCGCTCAGTGGCACTCTTCCTCCTGTCCGAGGTTTTCATTGTTGTGAGCATTTCTGTTGAGGATTGGCAACAAGGTGGTTTTTTTTTGTTTTTTATTCCCCCCGTCTGCTGGGTGGTTGCAAGAGGTTTTGGTCACTTCACATGACCCTGGGACACTGTGACCGTCATAAATATGAATCAGTTGCCAAGCATCTGAATGTAAATCACAAGACCCTGGAGATGCTGCAACATTCCAGCTGATCGGCGCTTCTTCTGGGCTCAGCAGAAGCGCCAGGATCAGCGCTGAGCTCCAGCTGGAGCCTGGCGCTGATCCTGGTGCTTCCGCTGAGCCCTGACAGCCCTGCAGCTCCAACCATCTCTCGCTCAGGCTTGTGCAGTGCTGCCACCAGTTCAGCTCATTCCCCTCCCCCGTTACCACTTTTCTAGAATGGTCGTGTACCACCTGCCAGGTGCCAATGTACCACAGGTGGTACCCGTACTACTGGTTGAAAAGCCCTGGATTAGATAACTGAACTATCCTTATATTCAGCCGAACAAATGGTAAGTTAATTATAAGAATATATGGCTATGGATCAGGGAAAAGATAAAAGTTCATATAAGAGCAAATGATGGCTCAGCAGCTGGAATACTGACAGCCTAGGTTTGAGATCCAAGTGCTGTTCAACAGGATGAGCTCCCATTCCTTGCTCCAGCTCCTGCCCACCTGGCAGTTTGAAAGTATGCAAATGTGAGTAGATGAATTAACCACTTCAGCAGGAAGGTAACAGTGTTCCATGTGCCTTTGGCATATAGCCAATGGAAAATGTCTTCAGATAATGCTGGTTCCCTCAGTCAAGAAACAGAGATGAGCACCCCACCCTAGATCAGGGGTAGTCAACCTTGGCTCTTTTATGACTCGTGGACTTCAATTCCCAGAATTCCTGAGCCAGCTTAGCTGGCTCAGGAATTCTGGGAGTTGAAGTCCACGAGTCATAAAAGAGCCAAGGTTGACTACCCCTGCCCTAGAGTCAGACACAACTGGACAGGGAAAACCTTTACCTTTTTAGTTTAAAAAAAAGGCAACTGGATAAATCTGGATCTCTTTTCTTTTCTAGAGAATCTGCCTAAACAAATTACTATATAGCAGAACAATGAAATAATAGCAGGACTGCAGCACTCTTCTAATAGGCAAATTGTTTAGCGACAATGAAACTCATTGCCAAGATTGTACCACTACTTAAAACCAAACCCCAGTTTTGTTCCTATATGTTAGAAAAGTTGCAACATTTGAATCAGAAACTCTATCATGTCTCAAATTGCCCTCAGCTGTTTTTGAAGTGTTTCAAAGGCAACTTATTCAATGAACTATCTCAAAATCAATTTGAATATTTGATTCCAATAATTGACTAGATTTGATTGACTATCCTTATAATCTAATCACCCCTAATAGGAAGTTGTTTTCTGTTTGACATTTGGTACAGTGGCCCTTTCAGTGTCCAGATGGGATTTTTTTCCTAGCCGTACCTAATTTCCCAGGAAAAGTGCATACAATATTTTACCATTAGGCAACTTTTTTCCTTAAATTGCAAGGGAACAAGAATTCAAACCAAACCAACAATTTACAGAAAAGCTATTTAACAGAATATTTGCTACATTTTATGTAATAAAAAGTTCTAAAATCTGAGTGCCACATTTTAAATACGTTGTCTCAGCTAGCTCAAGTTTCCAGTTGTGGGATATGGATTAAGAATTTCAATAAAAACACAATGGAGAAGTAGGTTTAAGTATGCTTTAACACAGTTGACTGACTATGCCTATTTTGATTTGGTGAGTCAAAAGTTGCAGTGCCCTGACCTGAAATAACTGAGATCTCTTTTGCAGTTTCTTCTTTACTATTCTTTCCAGTTCTTAATGAACATCAAATGAGAAAAGCTATATTGAAGGGGTGACAAGGTTTCTGTGTAATTTACATAGCCATACTTGTCCATAGATGCTATGCCCTTCTGCAAAATACATTCAGCTTTGTAAGAAGACCAGCTTGAGATAACACTTGTTGTGTAATTACTAGACGCAAGTAAATGTATCTGAGAGAGCACTCAAGAGCAAAGCAATGCAGTTTGTCAACTCATAGCACTGTGCAGCAATCTCATATCCTTTATTTCATATACAGTAAATGCACTTCCTTTCTGAGGCATTTGTTCTACAAATACAGTAGAACAATATACATTATTATTGGATATCAAGGAAATTATATTATTAATAGATCATTTTGTATCAAAGAACCAAAATTTTAGGATGATACAAATGGCACAAAAGTGCAGAGAAATCTTTAAACATTTGTCATCATATATATAGTTTCCAAAAATATCAGCAGCACTGTGTCTCATCATCTAGCCCATTGAGTGTGTGGGATCTGCTTTTCTCTCTTCCTTTGACTACTTTAAAAACAGATTAAGACTTCAATTTCCTACAGTCTGACACATCATATGTTCATCTGAGAACATTAATCATAAGCAAGGACATGGTGTCTAATAAAATGCAAAGGAAATACTAGCTGCTTCTCCCACATTTGCCCAACCATTTTTCCCACATCCCTCTCAATAATATACATGTACATATACATATACACATACGTACATGTACAAGCACATGCACACGCATACACGTAAATATACATACCCACACACAAAACTTGAAAAGGAAGCCATTTCCAATTTGGTGTATATAAAATACATCTTCTCCATATACTTCAAGTCTTGGGGATAATTTTTCCCCTTTCTCTCTGACATATAGTGATAAATTTACAAGAACTAAGCACACTGCGGGTCGATCACTGATAGAACCAGGCAATAGGTTAAAAAAACATGCACATGAAATAAACAAAATCCATATTTTGAGGCTGTAACCTCTAGGTTTTCAAACCCTAAACAACCACAGCAGACCCATTGTTAGAAAAATTAAAAAAGAAAGAGACCGTCTTTGATTACCATCTTGTCCAGAAGTCTCCAGATATTCACTCAGCTCACAGCCAAAGACGTTCGTGGCTCCTTTCCTCTTGAGTTTCAGCTTGCCTGCCTTGTTCTTCATGAGTTAATTCCAAAAAAGAGGATTACCCCTCCTTCCTTCCCCCCACCCCCCTTTTTACACCAAATAAGTTAAAAGTTCTCCCCTCTTATTCTCAGATTTGTGTTGTTTGTGTCCCGTTTCTGGTCAGCAACATTGAAAGCCCAGAAGAACTTTCAGCCGGATGCCTCAACATTAATCTTCACCAGATGTTAAGCTGTTACAACTACGGCTGTTGTAGAAGGGAACAATCAGTACATACAGAGATCTCCAGCAGGAAGCAGCATAAAGTTTGTAGCCCAAGTTCAGGATGGTTCTCTATGAGGGAGTTAAGAAACCAGTGTCTCCAGCAAAACTGGCAACAGAGATCAGATTTTGGCTGAGGTTCTTTCTTGCTGATGCATCCCAACAAATCAAATGAAGCTGGCCTTCAAATTAAATCAAGCTGGGTCTTTCATAGAAAAAAAATCAGACACTCCGAATCCATTTTTCTCCATGAACATGTAAAAAAGGGAGAGAGAAAAAAAGAGAAAAATACAAAATTGATGAAGAGCTGCAAATCTATGGAGGCTTTACATTTTAAGCCCCTTACTCTGTTTTGGGGCTATTGGACAATATTAGGAGAACAAGAAACTGGCTTTCTTCCTTAATGCAGTCTCTCTCACTCTCCCCTTTCCTCTCCTTTTACCAATTCTGGGATTATCCAGTTCAGGAAACGCTGAAAGGAAGTTAGCAGGGGAGGGGGCAGGATGGACTTTTTTGGCAATATGGCCAGTAAAGTATGTATGTGTGTGTGTGTGTGTGTGTGTGTGTGTGTG